AGGGGGTGCCCCAGGTGGGGACTCTGAGAAGGCACGTTCCGGGCGGTGGTGGCAGCTGCTCAGAGGGCAGTGGCCGTGGCCGCCAGGCTGAGCTCCACCTGGCGCTGGTCGGGCAGTGAGTGCCCCGTGGTCGCGAGGCCCCGGAGTGACCGTGTTGGGCGCAGAAGGCGTCCTTGTTCTCCCTGGGGTTCTGAACCAGGAAAGAAATAAGACCGGAGGCCCTGAAAGAATACATTACTTCTTTGTTGGTAAAACTGTACTGAAACACGAAGCTTGTCTGGGCTTCCTTTTGTGGAAACTGGACTGAGACTGAGGGGCCTGTCAGGTTCCGGGTGACGAGGGAGCCCGTGCTGTCGCCTGCGCCCCGGGCACACAGCCCCCCAGGGGAGGGACTGAGCAGGAACAGGCAGCGTCTCCCCAGCTCCCGGGCGAATACGCCGCTTCTCAGGGCGGCCCGCCCACAGGGGGCGCTGTGGGGTGCCGGGCGCGGGAGGGCAGGCAGGCCTGCAGAGCGCAGCCCTCGCCACGTGGAGGCGCCCCTGTGGCCGCGGGATTTCAGGTTGGGGGTCTGGATGGTGACGAGAGCTCGCGAATGAGCAGAACGACACGGCACGGTTTGCCTTGACGAAGGTCACCCCGCATGGTCCCCTGGCGGCGGTGAACGGGACCCCCCGCTGCCAGGACCGCGGCCGTAACTGGCCGGGGACGGGCCAGGTCTCGGATCCAGGCCGGGGCAGTGACGGTCCAGTGAAGAGAAACGCCGGTGGGAGAGCCCGTGGTCTGTTGTCTCCTCTGCCCATGCCTGGGGGGCGGGGGGGCTCGGGGACTTCTGTGCGTCACAGGGAGCTGGGAGGGGCGCTTGGAGACACTTCCAGGACGCAGAAGGTGCAGGCCGCGTGTGACGGGGCAGCCGTGGGCGCTGAGGTGGAGAGATGGCCCGGTGGGCGTGCGTGGAGATGAAGAGTAAAAGGGCCAAAGAAGGGCGTCCGGAGGCTCCCCCATTACGCGCCAGCAGAGGAGGAGGCCCGGGACGCGGCCGAGGGCCGCACGGAGCCGTCACCGTGCAGGACGCTGCCCGGAGCTCAGCTGAGGTAGCATCCGGCTGCCAGGCTGCCACCAGTGGCCTCGGCAGTGGTGGGCTCTGCCCGGGGGTCAGCACAGGAGCGCATGCCAGCGAGCGCCCACCTGCTCTCAGGAAGCTGACTGTGACAGCGGCGCTCGAACCGGCGCCGGCCGAGCATCTCCGGGGACGAGCAGCAGGCCGGGCCGTGCATGGGGAGAACGCGCGACACCGGACCCTGCCCTGGGCGCGGTGGGGCCCCGTGGGGGAGGCTGGCACGGAGGCGGCAGGTGCGCGAGCAGGGGCTAAGCCAGGCCGACTGCTGAACCCCCTCTGCCTCCGGCCCTCGTCCGTGAGGCCTGAGCGAGGTGATGGACGGGAAGCCTGGCCTGTTGTGACGTGTGAGCAACAGGGAGGAAGAGGCGGGGCCGGGCACGTGGAAGGCGGGGCCAGGCACGTGAGGGGCAGGGCCTGGCACGTAGGAGGTGGGGCCGGATGATCCTCTCCTCCTCGTCCAATGCGGATGGTCCGGAAAACAGCAGAAAGCAGAAATGGGGCATTCTGCCAGGATTTAGTGAGATCTTATCATCTGTTCAATAGAAAACTTAAAATTGGTGGAGAAAGTGTTGCTTTAGGTTCTTAAGCCAGCTTCGTTTTTGACTGAAAAGTGGGAACTTTATACGGAAGTGTACGTGAGGGTTTGGCCTTAGAAATGCCCTCCGCCTCCTCGCCTGGGCCCAGGGGCCCTTCCCGCCACAGGAGCCCCCGCCCGCCCTCTGGCGCCTTGCTCGGTTGTGAGGTTTGTACAGTGTAATTACAGATCCGAGAGAAGGGGCCAATCCAAGGGTACCAAGGTTTCAGAATTGCGGCGGAAGCGACTTTTAAAACAACGGTGAGCATTAGTATTGAAATATCAGCAGGTTAATGAAATTGGTGAGTGTCTGGGGAAAAGAGCACATATCTTCAGTCTCCGCTGACGACCCCGTTTCAGGCTGAGGTGTAGCTCAGGGACAACTTTGTAGGAAAAGTAAGAGAAAACATCGCATCGCAGTGATAAAGACTTGCTATTCTTGTAAGCAACCTCATGCACTTATGTTTGTTTTATTCATTCCTTCATGTGTATTTTTATAAAATAGGTAACATATTCATTTGTTGAACGTTCAAATGTAGACAGAACTCAGTGGTTATAAAAATTGCCCAGCCAGTATAATGTGGGGTAATAATATTCATGTTTTAAATCTATGAACATTTAAACGTTCTTAATATCATGCGTAGTTCATGATGAGCGTTCTAAGAGAACAGTGCCTGCCCTCCCCCCGCCCCCATTCCGTTTCCTGTGAGTTGGTTTTGGGGAGGAGGCTCGTCCCCCCAGGCCACCCCAGCTCTCCCACCTGGAGGCTCCTGGGAATTCACCCTCTTTCCAGGGTCATTTGAGAGACGGACCGTGGTGCTCTGAGATGGCAGTGGTCACTTCAGCTTGGGCACACCCAAACAGTTCATCTAGATCTAGAAAAGTCCTAAAGGGAGGCACCCCGAAACACCGCTCCCCTGGCCCCCAGGACATAGAGCAGTGACAGCAGCAGTAGTCAGCAACTTGCACTTGACGGGTCCAGTGAATTCATCTCATCTTCCTGTGGAGAAAGTGGCCCCAACTTACAAAACTTGCTTGGTCTCCTCCGTTTCCTCTTCCTGGTCTTCCTCCTGATTAAGTCACCTATTGGGGTCGCTCTTCACTAAGGTTTGCCTACTTTTGTGGGTCATCCTATCATTCCAAAGCAGTCTGTATATTGTAGACAACATTTTCCTAAACCATTTCCTCTCTTCCATTTGCGTGTGGACAGAACAATGGGGGAAATAGAACACATGTGAAGAAAGTTCTCATAAGGTTTTAGAAAATGCCACCGTTTATTAGAAGTTGTGACTTCAATTTTTTAGAAGTAAATGTGGTAAAAGAATAATGACATGGACAGAATTTTAGTACTTAAACGTGTGGGCCATGCTTTGTACGACGCCGTCCGTTGTTCAGCGACAGGCTTTTAATGTGAAAATGTTCTCTTTGCTCGTGAACTTGCTTTCTGGCCTCCATGTAGGAAGGATGGCACTTTCATTCACATCTACAGTTTCATAAAATGATTTGAATAATATATTTGATTTAGTTTCTCAAATCTCCCCTTTGCGTAAAAAGCATTTATAGAAAATGTCTACAGAGCTCTCCAAACAGCCTAACCCCGTTTAATTCTGACATTTGTGTTTTTCCAATGAGCTTTAAGATCAAAGTCAGTCTGGTCGTCCAAGTGAATAGTAACTCTGAGGCTGGCAGTAAAATAAAAATGCATTAGAGTTGATAATCAAAAACACCCTTTTGCACTCTTTCCAAAAAAAAAAAAAATAGAAGTAAATTGGCCATCACCCAAACAATCATGATTTTAAGTTAATTTGCTTTTGGTGTTTGGCATTCCAGTTCACCCACATGACACATGTTTTGCAGCTGTTGGAATCTAATATTAAATTTTATGTTTGAGTTCACCTAATGATTTATAAAATATTCTAATACACGTCTTCAAAGACCCCAGATCAATACGCCAATGGTTTTGAGATGACAGAGTGCCACGATATTCCTCTGTAATTTAAACATGATTAGCTGATGAAGGTTATGATCAATACACCACGGGAAGATAAATTAATTGATATCATCCTTTCAGGATGATAAGAGGCCTCGTGGAGGTGGGCTGTAGCTAATGAGGCCGCTGCCTCAACTCGGGGAGCCATTTTTTATATATTGCATTTTCACTTAATCATATTTATACTATCATTCATTTACATGAAAGCCATAAGCTGTGGATAGACCCGTTCCTTATTAAAATTGTATTCATTTGGAAAAGAAACTCTGTGGACACCGTGTACGCTCCTTCTGTGTTATAACCTACTGGTGGGGTCAGTGATATGTTTCTTTGCATGGGTATCTAAAAAATAGCAACTCGGTGGGCAAAGCCAAGGATCGACTATGATTGAACTTAATTACAGCTCGTCCCCAAAGACACACATCTAGTCAAATAAAAGCTGTAGTTCTTCTCCTGTAGTGACACCTACCGGTGTAGGAAGAGCTTCCTAATTGTTGACTTCCTTTCCAATTAAATCCAATATGCTTTATCAGCTAGCCTGGTTGCCAAGGGAGGTTATGGCTGGTTGAATTTAGATTTGTATTGATTAAGAAACTTCTAATGTGTGTAGCAATATATTTAAATAAAAAGAAGTCTTTGATATAATTACATGTCCTTGAATATAATTCTATGCAAGTAGCTCGTAAAGTGAAGAGTAATTCTTTAGGCTTTGCAAAAAGAAAAAAGAAATAGATTTTTAATTTTTGGGGGGAGGGGGTGGGCTGGTTAAATTACCCTGTCTTATTTAGGATTATTTTTGCTGGAAGCAACTGGAAACACATCGTGTTAAATTAGAGTTATTTGAACAAGATAGGTGTATATTTTTCTATTTTGCATTCAAGGCTTCTGGGGGTGGGGCGGGTGTGCAGGGCTGCTGAGCCAGGGGCTGAGCTCTTTTCTAGCTCATGTCCCACCAAGGGTGGCTTCCGTCCCCAGGGTGGCCAACATGTGCGCTTTTTAAGCTGCAAGAGGGACAAAGACATAAGGAACACACGGACCCAGGGCGCTCTCTCCAGGAAGAGCTCTGGACAGTGTCACATGCCCCTCCTGCTGTCATCCCCTGGCCAGGGCTTGCTGGCATGACCACGTTCAGTCTCATTTAGACAGAGCAGAGGCAGCTCCAGGAAATGTATCCATTCTGGTCGTCACATGCCCAGCTAAAAACCAGGGATTCTGTTTCCACGGGAACAGTGGAATACAGGGACAATCGGGTCCCTGCCATGTTCTCTGCACCTGGGAACCAGCCTCACGTAGATTTCTTTTGTCTCCCTGTCCACTAGTTGCCCAGAAGATCGTTGCCACAAGGAAGAAGCAGCAGCTGTCCATCGGACCCTGCAAGTCGCTCCCTAACTCTCCCAGCCACTCGTCCGTCTGTTCCGCACAGGTGTCTGCCGTGCACATCAGCCAGGTACGTTGGGCGCGTGAGAAGTTAGACTGAAAGACACATCAGAGCCAAGGAGGACGTGCCGGTCCAAAGAGTGTCCTCGGCCAGTTCTAAGGTGGATTTTCTTTTTCTTTTCAACTTTATAAATAACAGCATGTTGGTAATTGCCTTAGCATTTCCTTCGCAAACTGCTGTGGCCAAGTGGTTTTTATGGGACCCGCTGGTTAATGTTGCCCATCTTCGTGCTGCCTGTGTGATGAGGCGTGCTGGCTCGAGCGGGACGCGAGGTGTGTGCTTGTGTCTTGGCTGTTGATTTGAATTAGCTGCCGTGGTCCTCGTTGTAGTCTGCTCGCAGGCTGACCCGTTGTGGGCGGCTCTCAGCAGCTAGTCTCGCTGCGCTTACGTTTGTTAGCAGCCCTCCATTATAATCACCACCTCCCTTAGGCCCTATCAAAACTCTTTCCATAGCAACACCTCGCTAAATTATTTACTTGGAAGCAAACAAAATAATTGTCACTTTGAAGAACCTGACCAAGAACCCATTAAGGACACTGTGGGCTTGTTTTTCCTGAGCTTGTGTTTTCTGATTCACATTTCTTGGACAGGCATTATATTGGCACTTTTTGGAAAGATGCAGGAAGGTTTGGCGACGTGCTGTCCCTTGGCCTGGGAGGTCAGGAAGTGTAGCCGCTTGTACAGTGGGGGTCTGTAGACGGACAGCCAACGGTGCTCATGTCACTGAGGCATCTGTGGTTCTCTGTGAATCCTGAAACGCCTTTCAGAAGCATTCACATTTGCAAAATGTCTTTTTCAAAATGTGAGTTGTGGTCTGACTGCGCAAAACAGTGCTCTTTCTGTGTCAAATCTAGAGCAACGAAGGAACCATAGGACCCATGTACAATAGTTCCCCCAACACCTTCATTTTCAGAGGAAATACAAAACAGTTACATGGTAACTGTCAAAAATGTTGAAATTAAATGATGGAGACTTCTCTTTCTGAAGTCACTTTTCTTAAACAAAGTGACTCTGAGAGGATTGGTATGTTCTAGAATGAATCCGTGTGTACTTGGTGTTAATACAGTTGGCAAAGCTGGAGCAGCCACCCGGCCTGTCGTGCAGGCATCTGTTTGGTGTGACTGTGGCCCCGCATAGGAGGTGGCATTAGGTTCCTGGAGTGTGTCCTTAACAAAACCTTGGTTTTCCGCCGTTACAGACAAGCAACGGAGGTGGGAGTTTAAGCGACTATTCCTCTTCCGTCCCCTCGACGCCAAGCACCAGCCAGAAGGAGCTGCGCATCGACGTGCCCCCCACTGCCAACACGCCCACGCCCGTCCGGAAGCAGTCCAAGCGCCGGTCCAACCTGTTCACCGTGAGTATCCACCCTGGAAAGAAATCTGAGTGTGATTTCAAAGAATTTCAGTGAGTCGTAATCTTGCCACCAGATGGTTCGGTGATATTTATAGTATCCAAACGAAATTAATGAGAACAGTATTGATTTCTGTGGAAGTCTGAGAAAATTATGAGATGCAAAGATTTGGATATTGAGCAGAATGGGAATTTCTCAGTGTGCAGGGAGTTCTGAGCCATGTGTCATAAATGAAGAGGGGCCTGCATTGAGCTATCCGTCATCCTGTGACTTTCTTTGGTTTCTAGCTAGAGACTGGTCACATTTGGGTACAAGGAGATGACAAAACTCTGCCAAAATCCCCAGACATGTGCATCTGGCCTTTCCGACGAAATGCGTGAGCCACGTCTGTCCAGACCCTTTGTCCCCAGCCTGTAGAGCCTGAGGGTTTACCAAGGGTTTCAGAGTCTCATGGGCATTGGGGCGCTCCATGTTGGCTTTTCTCCAGAGTCATCTGTGGAGCATTTTAAAACTGTAGATCACCTCTTGGTGCTCAAGCTTATCAACTTGGAATTTGCACGGGGCCCCGGCATGTGTAGTTTTCAAAAGCCCCCTGGGATGCAGAGAACCCCTGAACTACAGAGGACACAAAATCACTGCCTACCTGTCCCTTCCCTAACTCACAGCAGACATTACCAATCAATCGTGGAAGGCTGTGCAGTTGAGCACAAAACTCCGAGCACAGATCCAGGCAGAGTGATTGGAGTCATTTAACTGAAGAACATTTTCCCTTCCTGGACTAGGTCTGCGCATTACAAATATATGCTTTTAAACCAGTACGTCTCAGTCAGGGTGTTCCCCCCTAGGGATGTTTGGAAATTTCTGGAGAAATTTTGAATTGTAACAACTCGGGGATGGAGGAGTGAGGCACTGCAGGCCCCCAGCCATGGGCAGCCGCCAGAGATGCCACCAGACATCCTACAGTGCATAGGGCAGCCCCGCCACAAAGAGTGGCCCGCTCTAATGTCAGCAACGCCCTGTTCTAAGCAATTGGACTTCTCTTTTGGTTGATTACTGCTGACTTCGATGCAGAAAGGTTGAAGTTCAATACTTCTGGTCTTGAGCTAAAGGCGGGCTCTACAGGGGTGGCTGGGAGTCTGTTATCGACCTGTCGCCCTCCCTTGGAGATGGCGTTCTTGAAGTTGTACGTGTGGCCAAGTGCTAGACCCCCATCCCTTCCCCACCATGTCTGTGGCGGTTTTCCCACTGGGCAGCCATTACTGCCAAGTCTGTTGCCGACAGCACACACCCCCACCTCAAGGCTCCTCTGTTCTTTGCTGTTTTCCCTGCACCACGAGAGCTCTGGCAGGTGCTGCTGCTGGAGGGACAGAGCGAGGACCACACAGAGCAGGCTCAGACTCCGTCTCCACTGCCAGCAGCTGTTTGACCTTGGTCCAGTTACTTAACCTCTCTGGGCTGGCAACAGCAGCAGGTGCAGTGGGGCTGCTGGGAAGATTTCCTGTAGGGGCAATGTCTTTGTGGCATCGCTTTCATTTTCCCCACCACCGCTGGCGTTATGAAATGATTTCTGACTACATGAAGCAGAAGAACTTGTAGGGCTCTGGGAGGGAGGCAGTTAGGTTTCTGCAAAACACAGGTGACTATCTGATACGCTTACACTTTGTACGTGAATAAGGGGTCTTGCTGTGAAATTGCTTCACACATACCGAGAGTAGCGACAGTCACCTAGACAAATAGCAGGGCCCGGCTCTGTCCAACGCCACAGCACTTCCAGACACGGAGTCGGGGACTTTGGGTTGAGGAGGTGTCAGCTCTCAGAACAGGCTGCACCTCACTCGTGACTCAGTGTGCTTGAGAAACCAGTTGCCGAAGATGGCAGGGGGACACCAGCGTGGCAGGCAGGAGTGACGGCTTTGAACGTGGGCCACGGTCTCCTGCATCTTCGCCGCTTCTCCTGGGGCGTGGCGGGAGGAGAGGACCCAGGCCCAGGCCGCCGTCCCGCGGCTGGCTTGCTGCTCCCTGGCTTTGGTTTCTGTTCTAAGGAAAGAGATGGGAAGCCAGGAAGCACCTTTAAAACCGAGGCTGTTGATAAGAAGAGCTCCAGCGTGTCCCCACCCCGACATGTGTAGGGCAGCTCTGGCATTGGGATGTGACAGAAAAGGGTAGCGCGGACCCTGCCCAGGGGGTAACTGACAAAGGAGAAACCTGAGGCAGGAAGAATCCAAGTCACAGTAGCTCAGTCACTGCGGATTTCCTTACCCTCTGCTGTCCCCGGGCTGGTCATGCTTCGCGTCTGTCAGGAGTTGTTGTTGCCAAAGTCAGCCCACATTCAAGAGACAGTGCTTTAGAGAGAGAGGGGGGACTTGGCGTGCTTGGCGGAGAGCGGGGACTGGGAGGATGGGGCCCCTTCCTGCTTCCTCCCGCCGCACACACGTGTGCGAGCCGGCACAGGCAGTCTGGGTGAGCCGGGAAGCCCCGCTGTCCTGGCCAGATGCGGCAGGTGCCAGGGCCAATGAAAACCATCCTTCTGGTGACTGAATTATGACAGTAACTATGTCATAATTAATGTATCTGAAAATAGGAAGGCCTGCCTGTGAAGCTATGTGTTACCAGAGCTTGTTCTCTTTCTCTTTAAATGTTGGAAAACAATCGGAGAGTAAACCACGTTAGAAATGGAATCCAGCTGCACAACTGTTACTAGCAGGGACAGAAATTTGGGGTCATGGAGGGAGTCACAGTAGGTTTGCCTCATGGTGTTTAAGGAGAAGCCAGCGGAAATCCCGGGAAGGACTTGTGTGCTGGTCATCGCTGGGTTTGACATTGAACAAAACTGGTGGCAGCAGTGGTGGTCATGGCGACAGTGATGTGTAGGTATTTTTAAGTTGAAGAGCTTAGAAACAGTAACTCCACTAGATGTCAGTGTCATCCAAGGAATGAAAAAGAGGCAAATTAATTTTGAAATTGTAGCAATTAAGAAACTAAACTTTCATTGTTAACAATTTACACCTATTGTTAAATAGGTAACATTTCATAGATTCTTCGTGTCTGGTGCATGTTGCTAATTATGGGCTTAAATAGGCCGAGAGTGTGTCATGGGAGGGCCGATGTGCCGAGTGCCACACCGTCTTCATGAATAAAGCCCCGTGCCGACTGGGGCTGTAACCCCCGGGTGAAGGCACACGGTCCACCTTTTTCATTAGACCGTCACAAATGGGCCAGTTAATTAAGCAGTACTCCATTGTTTTTCAAATACCGTGCTTATAGATTTGATGAAGTAGACCTGTCGTGTACATTTTAGTCATGTTTTACTGTACCGGATGTTTCTGTTTACGTATGTACACATTTTGAAATGAAAGTAAATCACATGCACTTTTTACAGAATTGTACAAACTTAAAATCTCTCCTGTAGGAGCAAATTATGTGTCGTGTGTGGTAGGGATTATACTTGACTAATGAAAAACTAAATTATATGTTATTTTGCTGATTTCTTTGGGGAAAAAAATTGTTTTGAGAAAAGAAATATTAAAAGACTGTAGCCATTCAGTTCCTGGTTTTGTAACATGGGTTCTTGGAACAGTTAATTTAGTAGCCCTAATTTACATGTGGCTATGTTTTATTAGAAAATACATCCAAACATACGGGAATAAAAAGCACATGCGTCTACTCACCATTAAGCTCATCAAACAAGCATTTTGTGGCTATTGCCTCCACTGCTGCTGCTGCTGCTTCGAGAAGTAAACACATCCCAGGTGACAGCTGGAGCCTCTCTCAGGTGTGTCTCCCCAGCACACCCGCTTCCTCCTCATCCAGGGACCAGCGCTGCCCTCACTTCAGTGTTTGTCGTCTGTATCCATGTTTCAGACTTAGTCTGCCAGGCGTCCTTAATTGGACATCGCATTGCTTTGCCTCCCTGCAAGCTTTATCATAACGGTGTCACTTGCATGGGATTTTGCCAAGCTGACCGTATAATGCCGCCACCATTGAACAGAGCCAAGCCTACCCTGTAACCAAAGACTGACTGAAAAGATGCTCCCCAGCTCATAGCAGCTTGCTGTAAAAATAAGGCATCAGCACTGACAGTGTAAAAGGAATGGTCTGCATGGTGTTTTGTCTTTTGTAGAGGAGTGCGTTCCAGCAGCCTCTGGCTTACTGGTCACAGCGGGGAAAGCAGGTGTCGGTTGACAGTGAGGGCTCTTGGCAGCAACGCTTCCTGTCCCTGTAGCTTCCTCCGTGGCTTCCTTCATTGCACAGGAGAAAGTTAAACATTTTTGTGCAGAAGGAGGTGATAATTAGATCCTCCTAAGCGTCCTTTCCTCTGTATGCGGTGTTTGCAGAGGCTAAGCAGTCCCTCTTCCAGCTTGCCACCGACTTTCCGGGGTGGGTGTGATGCAGTCTCGTTAGGTTTCTAGTTGTGCGTGGCAGACGGGACACATGGCATAGTCACTGCTGACACATGCTGCAGGACCGAGAGCTGCTTTGTACGATGATTTCATGGGGCCATCCCAGCAGAAACGCGAGCATGTGCTCCGGCTGATGGAGTCCCAGGGTCTGCAGAAAACTCGGAGCCCTTCCTGGGAACGGTGTGCCGCAGTGTCTTCTGTGCAACGGGTTTGTTTCCGTTCAGTAGTCGCGTTTCGGTCTTACTGAGACATAGCACAGCCTGTCGTAGAAAGATCAGTCGTGGGAATAAGAGAGACCAAGCCCTTTTGCCTAACAGCTTGCTGTTGCTCTCTCCTTGAAATTTTAGTTGTAAGGCTCTCACCAAAATGTTAAGAGTTGTCAGGGAATTTTTGTTTTACTTTGGCAGTGTTTCAGTCGCATTCATCTTGGAGTGTGTGATCAAACATTGAGTTTAGTTTCTTCCTGATATAGTCCTGCTTCTGCTGGAATCCGGAAATTCTGCTCGGTGATGGGGACAGATGTGCTGCTGTGAGGAAGATGTTAATTTTTGTGTGTGTTTGTTTTGTTAATTATTCTGGTTAATAGAGAATAATGAAGATGGGTTTCCAAATTTAGAAATTTAGAATTCATGAAATTCCCAACATCCCTTTAATGATCTCTGTGGATTAAAAAAAATTTTTTTTAAATGTTACCACGGTGAGCTTTGAATCTTGTTTTTTACCAATAGAAACCTTAGGTTCCAGCGTTCCCGTGAATTGAGATGTGGAGAAGGGAGAATTTAGGAGTATTGCATGGCTCTTACTGTACACTATTAATTAAAGAACTGATTAGAGAAAAGCGAGTTCCTAACCCCTGGCTAAAATTTATGAGACAAGGAATTGACAGATATCCCCATCCCCCCTCTGGTCCACAGGGGTAACCCTGAAGTTTTCCGTCCTTCTGCAACTTTCTATTTCTTGCTTGTTTTGTGTCGTACCGTCATCTCATCACAGGCTTCTACCAGCCTAAAGGGGAAAGTGTGCATGCCCGCCACATGAGTGTTCACTAGCTGTCAGCTCTTACAGTCATCGAGGGGGCTTCTGAGTACCCATTGAAGTGTCGCCTCAGAGTTTGTACCGTGGGAACTTGGCTCCCTCGCGTCCCGTGATATTGCCCCTTTAAATACTGGGAGATAAAGGACAATCAGCTGCCCCGTCTCACACCCCTTTGAAACTGGGTTTCATTAGCTTTTCATTGCAGCGCTGGACACCACGAAGTCTATTCATTTCATATATCATCTCAGATTTGAAAAGCACATGAAAATGTTTCTCCATTTTCAATATTGCGTGAGTAATGTTCCCATTGAAAAGTAATGGAGTGAAGTTGTCACTTGTCAGCACAGTTATTAAGGAGGACGAGTCTCAGATCTTTCTCTCATAATAAAATAAATCTGTCAGAAAATCATTGTGCTCACCCTGCCTCGTGCCATCAGGAGATGGAGACTTGAGCTGTGGTGCTCCTTCAATGTCCCCAGGTCCTGGTGGCCTGCAGGTGTGGCGTCCCCGGCTTGGGCATCACCAGCTCCCCAGCCGTTCACGTAACTTCAACATATGGCCCGGAAAACTCTTCCAGAAACTTGACAAATGAAGCCGCTCATTTTTTCCCTCGAATACTGACGTTTTGTCAAAAAAGATATTTTCAGCTGCTTTTTTTCCCCCCACTTGTTATTTTTTGGTGGTATTGTATACTAGTTTGACTTTGAATTTGCTCTTTTCTAATCATCGAGAAGCAACAAAAAGAAACATCAACACCTTGATAGGAAACAAGGGTTTACCATTAAGTCTCATAGCCGAATCGCTAATAGAATTTTTAAAATCCTGCAGATGTTAATTAAATATATACATTTATGTCACAGGTTTCCCAAACAGGCATCCGAGAGCCCTTTTCTCCTCGGCTGGATTAACTGCAGCTTTGGAATGTGTTTTCCTGTTGGGCGTTACTTTCCTATATGGTCCATTGGTTCCTAGTAATTGAATTTTGAACTCTTTAAAAAAAGAATGAAAAGATAATTTTGCCAGGGAAAAGTTTAGAAAATTCTTTGTGAAATGACAGCTCCGTGGAGATGAACAGCTCCACAGCCTGCTCCTGGGATGTGTGTGTGTGTGTGTGTGTGTGTGTGTGTTTGTGTTTGTACACACATGCATCGTTCATGGCCATGGCCTGCATAACATGTTTGCAGATGCTGTGCCCAACAGGGCAGACCTCCCGCCATCTGTGAACTGCAGCCCTTACCAAATGCTAACTTTGTTTTCGTTTTGCAGTCTCGGAAAGGGAGTGACCCAGACAAAGAGAAGAAAGGCCTGGAGAGCCGAGCGGACAGCATCGGGAGCGGCCGAGCAATCCCAATTAAACAGGTATGCCGCGGCCCCCCCTCCTCCGGTCCCTGTAGCTGGAGACACACCTCGGTCTCGCCTTGCTCTGATGCCTGTTCATGTGCCAGGGTTTGTTTGATGTGCTCTGTTGATGAATGCAGAAGTCACTCACTTGACATCAATTAGAAGAGGTTCCTGTGTGTATTAAAATGGGATCATTAGAATAAGAAGGGGGAAAATGTGACAACAGGTCTAATGAAGTACAGCCTGCCCGCCTGCATATGGAGTGCGCTTCGAGGCTGAGCTGGCTTCAAAGGCCGCTTTTGTAGCTTGGCTTTGATTGGGCCGCTGGCCGCCAGTCGACAGGGGTAAATCAGATCTCCGTACAAGAGCCCCTTGTGATCACAGGAACAGCCCGACGTGGCCCTAATTTGCTCGCGCAGACGGACATCTGAACACTGTTTCGGGCTCGTTTGTAACAACGAGGCAATTAGTTGTGATAATCATAGCCGGTGTGTCAGCTGTGTGCTCTTGTTTGTAATTTGCTAATGAAGGAATTGTAACTTTGATTAGGTTCGGTTTCATTTAGGCCTTATTATATAAAGGAACATTTACAGCTGTAATGTGGGGCCTTAATTAAACTTCCTCATTACACAACGGGACCTGAATCCCAGCATTTGTTTTGGCCTGGCTTGCCAGCCTGAGGTAGCTTTGCCTTTGCCCAGAGCCCAGATACCAAATTACTTGCCATCACAAGTACAACAGGAATTCACGTCACATTTTTTGCTGTTCTGACAAGAAAAAATAAAAGTAAAAGAGTTCGACCTGGCACCGTGGTTTCTGGAAATGTTATCTTATAGTTTGGAAAAGAAGGCCATTTCATGTAGAGCGTATTCTGCTTCGGAGGGGGAAATAAAACCTGTGGGCAGGCTAACCACTCTGCCTCGTGTGGGCATGGCTGTGTAACGGATTTGTCCATCGTGGTGATCACCCTTTGCTGTTTTCCGCGGGTACCTAGATGGTTTTACACATCCGTCAGGCACTTGTGCTGGCACTGGCCACCCTGAAAGGGCCAGAGTCTTTCTGCAAATACAGTGGCACCCGCTGAAGCAAGCAGGAATGCAGCCGTAGGTGGGGGCCCCAGGCTCAGTGTGGCGGTATCGGGGAGGGACGGGTTAGAGAGAGCGGTTAGAAGGCACCGAGGGGGCCCCAGAGCAGGGACGCCACAGGGTTTCTTACACGACACCCCGAGGTGCTGTGTGCACTCGCCTAGGCACCCCAGGAAAACCCTCTTCCATCCTCTGCTGGTGGTGATGTCCTCACTCTGATGGCCTCTTCTCTGGAGAGGTCCAGGCACACGGCGGCTTATGCTCTCTGTGCATTTACTTATAAGGCAGCTCTCTACATCAGGCTATTTCAATGTGTAATTTTTATGCTACTGATGCTGTTTCCACTAGACTTACAGAAATCATTTTATTCTCTTACTTTCACTGGAAAAATTGATCCTGGGACATTTCCTTTCGGGAGTATTAAAGCTTAATACTAGACTGCTTCCTTAATTCACGTCCGCTGTGGACGAGAGTGGGATGCTGGAGCTGGTCAGGCCCCCCTGTAATGGGAGCCGTGCCTCGGTTTGCACCCTCCTTACCTGCAGAGGGGCTCACTTTACAGGCTGGGCAGCCCCTCTGTGTGCGGACAGGGGTGCCCTCAGGCGTCAAATGAGTTTCATCCAGTTCTCAGAAGCCTTTCACTTATAAACATGCACCAGAATCTTGTTGAAATTTAAATCATGGTCTGATTTCCTGGTGAGGCACGTCACAGGAGACACACACAGCTCCTGTCCCTCGCGGCCGTCCCACGCGTGTGCGGCCACGCACGAGCTCTGTCCACGCCTGGCAGGTCCATCCCCCTGTGGCAGGATGGTCCGGGCCTCAGATTCCACATCTGTGAAATGGGGCGGATGTGAGCCCCTTGAAACACTGGGCTGTGGAGATTCCAGAGAGGTTGTTTTTGGGGTTTTTTTAAATTCCGGCAAATCTGGGTTTTCCAATTAGTCATGCTCGGCACCTGTGTCGCTCAGATCGATGTGGGTTTATAGACAGTTGTATGGATTTCTCACACACACGTGTGCCCGTGTTTATAAAGGAGCCGAGACTGTTAGAGGCAGCCTGAGCTCTTAACCCTCCCAGCGTGATGACTTCAACTCGCAGAAATAAATAAGAAGATGGCACAGAAGGAGCCCAACCGGGCAGGGCCTGCCCGTGGGCACGCCCGGGACACTCGGTAGATCTGTGCTGAAGAAACCAACAGTTAAATGAGTGCTTATTACTTGTGAAGCGCTCCTCACATAGTATCCCATGGCGTCCCCAGCATTGCCAGCTGTGTTTTCCTCATTTTCCATTAAACCTGGGTGGCTGAGCAGTCCAGACCAGGCAGCTTTGGAGGCCGTGGGGCCAGGGTCTGGACCCCCATCCTTCGGCCGGCACCCGTGCGCGCTCCACGGCCTTGGCAAAAAGCCTTCGGAAGGCTTAGAAGGCAGAGTTGTGGGTTTAAAATACGTGAACCCTGACCTCAGACAAAAATACCTTCCCCTTGTGTCAAGAAACCTCTAAGACCGAGCCTACAGCCCGTTTATCGGGGGAAACGCACTCATGTGCCCTCCTGGGGGAGGGGTCATTCCCTACCGTGGGGACACACATGGTTCCTGCCCTTCTCACCAGCATCGGAGCGCTTGTCTTGACGCTCAGCCTGTGGGCATGACCTGGTCTGCGTGTTGGGGCCCCGCACCCCCCCCCTTTGCCTGACGGCCGAGGAACCAGCTTAGAACCTCAGTGACCCTGCCTGAGGGCCGGCCTCACGTGGTTTGGGGCTGGCCAGTGTGTGTGATAGCTGCACAGTCCTTTTTTCTTCCTCCCAGGAATCTCGTAACAGATGGTCCAGGACCCAGGCGAGGCCGCCTTCAGTGCGCTCCGCGACCTGACTCGCGGTTTTACAGATTGTACGTGTTCCCGTGAATCATGATAACCATGTTTCACTTGCATTTTACAGCTCGCTCCTTGGGAGGACGGATGCTTCTCCCCCAGTGTAGGAGTGAGCTGGCCACATCGCAACAGGCAGCATTTCATTTCTTCCCTTTTTCCCCCGTTAAAGACTTCATCAAGCATATGACTTATTTTCTGCAAAATAACTTCATTTCTTGAGGACCTGGGCCCACCCCCTGCCCTTTTTTTTTTTTTTTTGTCCTTTCTGGGGCCTTAGAGGAGATTTGGTTCAGACAGCTTCTTTTGTTACTAATAAGATAAGGTCTATTCGAATAAAAATTGAAAAGCAGAGCAAGAAAAATAAAAAGCCAGAGGCCCGGCTCAGCGGCGAGTGGGCTTGTCACGTATTAATTTTTCATTGCTGTGGAGAGTTGTACATACATAATCACTTGATTGCAGTGGGAGTTAGGGAGCTCCTATGGTGTCATTTGCATAAATCTTGTTAAGTCAATGGCAGTTAATGAAGTACAAATGAGCCCGGAGAAGGTGACATGCAAATCGTGGGTGGCAGATGGGAGGTCTGTTTGGGGGACGGCAGCTGTGTGCTCTCCTTTCTTTCTTTCCCCTCTGCGTGTGTTAATCTCTGTATTATGGTACAGACCGCAGCCCTGGCCTGGCCCGGCCCGGCCCCCTTCCCCGCAGACTGCTGGCCGGAGCTGGGCCCCCTCCTTACTGCGGCCGCCGCTCGCCCCCTCTGCAAAAACAGACCGAATGGCCTCACCTCCCTAGCCTCACCCTGACTAACACACACTCGGATGTATTTGAATTTTTAAAATCTGCATCGGTTTATCTTGTCACACTTACACCATTGAAAATACATATGTATTTTTTTATTTGGTGAGGACAAATAAGAAAATTCACTGAATCTTTCAAGGCAGGATGTTGTCTCATGGGAGATTTCAAAGAGTGAAAATGAGTTAAAAAAAAACATACTGTCTTTGCTTTAGTGTGCTTCTGTTTGGGAGTCTGTCCTTCCCCCCGAGACAGGCCAGTGGCGTGTATCCAGCCGTTATTCCATGTCCCACGTTCCTAGTGGGCCGTAAGGGTCGCTTAGGCGCGGGGAGACACAGGCAGTGTCGGGGACCACTGTGTAAATCGGCTGCGGCACAGACCTCTCGCCGTCAGCGCAGCCCCGCAGGAGGCCCCCACAGGCTGTCTCAGTCACGGCCTACGTGTCCCCTGCCTGGCAGCTTGTTTGTTAAAGGTGTGAGCGGCAGCAGGACCCCGGCGAGCCTTCAGGGACGTGTGGGCACAGCGCTGCCTCCGCTTACTGCTTTCAGCATTTCTTTATTTCATCAACTGGTTGATAATTTGAGAGAAACAAGTCTCCATCAACATTGAAGAAATTCAGGCAAAGAGGAGGTGCATGCCGGGAGATGTGAGCTCTGGTGACAGCTATGCTGCCCGCCTGGGGGTCGCCCGCTTTGGGTTTTGCTGTGCCGAGTCGAGTCAGGGCACGCCTTCCGGGAACTTGGGCCCGCAAGGGGCTGCTGGAGGCCTGCGTGCTTCCGTGAGGCTCCGTGATATTCCCAGGCACCACGTGGCTTCGTAAGACTTTTTAAAAATCTTAATTTTGACCTTGAACTGAATGTCATGGCCACCCCTAGAATAGACAGTCAGCCAGGGAAAGGAGAGATATTGCAGCAGCCGCCTGAAGCCACAGGAAAACCGTCCCCAGGCTGTCAGAGGAGGAGCCAGCCTGAGTGGAAGTTTCCGGTAGCACGCCATCGGGCCTGTGAAATATTTTGAAGCGGTGCACGGTTTTGATTCTCAGTTGAGTCGAAAGAAGCAGCTGTCAGTGAAGCGAAAGAAGCCTCTGGAGCTAATCTGCTCGGCCAGCCTGCCGCAGGCCCTGACCTGTGTTGTCTGGTACCTGGGTCCACACGAGGGGGTGGGCTGTGTGGCGTGGACGGAATAAAAGCCACCTAATGACACTCACATGAACATCTCCTGAAAGTTGGCACTGTTCACAGCCAGTTGGTCCACCGCTCAGCCATCGTG